TATGTGGAGGTGGTTGCCAAACCGGCAATCAAACAACAAGTTTCAAACTTCCCCTTTGGCAAAGCCTTAGTCATCATATCAGAACCATTATCATCTGTGTGAATCTTTTCAAACTCCAATAACTTGAGATCAAGCACATCTCGAATCCAATGATAACGTACATCAATATGTTTAGATTTGCCATGGAAAGTAGGATTTTTGCTAAGATGTATAGCACTCTGACTGTCACAATATAAGACATACCTCTTCTGAATAATGCCAAGTTCACGAAGATATTTCTTCATCCAAAGCAGCTCTTTACAAGCTTCTGTAGCTGCAATGAACTCGGCCTCTGTTGTGGACAACGCAACACATTTCTGAAGCTTAGATTGCCATGAAACAGCTCCCCCTGCAAAGGTAACCAAATAACCAGATGTAGACTTCCTGGTATCATTATCTCCAGCCATATCAGAATCTGTATAAACATTCAAAACATGTTTTCCAGTTCCAAAACAAAGTTTCAAACTGGATGTGCCTCGGAGATATCTCATAATCCACTTCACTGCATTCCAATGCCCCTTGCCTGGATTAGAAAGGAAGCAGCTAACTGTACCAACTGCATGCGCTAAATCCGGCCTTGTGCAAACCATTGCATACATCAAACTTCCTACTGCAGATGCATAAGGAATACGTCGCATCTCTGCCTTCTCAGCATCATTATATGGGGACTGTGTAGAGCTAAGCTTAAAGTGTGTAGCAAGAGGTGTGCTAACCACTTTAGCTTTTTCCATATGAAATCGTTGAAGCACCTTTTCAATGTACTTCTCCTGAGACAACCATAGCTTTCTTGCCTCTCTGTCACGTGTAATCTGCATGCCAAGAATCTGTTTTGCTGGTCCCAAGTCCTTCATCGCAAAGGACTTACTAAGCTCTGTTTTCAACTCTGCAATTCTCGAAGAGTTATGACCAACAATAAGCATATCATCAACATAAAGCAACAAAATAATGAAGTCATTATCAGAGAACTTCTGCACAAAAGCACAATAATCAGAAGTAGTCTTCTTATATCCTTGCTGGATCATCACAGACTCGAACTTCTTGTACCATTGCCTTGGAGCTTGTTTCAAGCCATACAAACTCTTCTTCAACTTGCAAACATAGTTCTCCTTGCCCTTCACCACAAAGCCTTCCGGTTGCTCCATATAAATTTCCTTCCCCAAATCACCATGAAGGAATGCTGTTTTGACATCCATCTGTTCAACTTCCAAGTCAAGGCTGGCTGCAAGACCCAAAACAACTCGAATCGAAGACATCCTCACAACTGGAGAAAATATTTCCTCATAGTCAATACCCTTTTTCTGACTGTAGCCTTTAACCACTAGTCTAGCCTTGTATCGT